ATGCTTACATTTCACTTTTTTATTCTCTATTTTATTTTTCGACGAATTTTGATTCACTTTGTTGCACTCCAAATTATTTTTCAAATTTACATTCATCTTTTTCTCTTCTTCAAGCATATTTACGCTACCTGGAAAATAATGTATTTTTATTATTAAGAATAATCATCCAAGATGCATGTAAAAGTTGTAAGAAATATAATCAACGTTTTATATACTTTTGCCTTGCTCTTTCGTGCTCTTCGATTTTTTCTGTATTTTTTTGCGTTGAACATTTTTCTCTGACTTATTTTCTGAATTTTCCGTTTTTGATTTTTTATTTGCCGTCGATTCTTCCTTTTTCACCTTTTTTTTTCTTATTTTAGATGCTTCTTTTTTAGAAGTGCTTGTTTGCAGATTTTCTTCGGTGCTATTTGTTGTGTCCTGCACAATTTCTTTTTTAATTTTTTTATCTGAATTGACATTCTTCTTGGCGGTGGCTTTTGAAGATTTTTTAGTTTCTTCTTTTGCATCATCAGTATTACGTGAGAGTTCCTGCGAAATTATTTCCTCCGAATTATTTTCCAACTTTACATTTGGTTTTTCCTCTTCTTCAAAAATATTTGCGCTACCTGAAAAATAATATATTTTTATTATCACAAATAATTATCCAAAATGTATGTGAAAGTTGTGAGAAATATAATCAATGTTTTATTTACTTTTGGCTTGTTCGTTCGTGTTCTTCGATTTTTTCTGTATCTCTTTGCGCTGAATATTTTTCCCTGATTTATTTTTCGAATTTTCTGTTTTTGGTTTTTTATTTTCTGCCGTTGATTCTTTCTTTTTTACCGTCTTTTTTACTTTTTTAGGAGTGCTTGTGTATAGATTTTCTTCTGTTATATTTGTTATGTCCTGCAAGATCTTTTTCTTAGACATTTTTTTATTTGAATCGACATTCTCTTTGGCTTCTGAAATGTTTTGGATTTCTTCTTTTACATCATTAGTATCATATGAGAGTTCTTGCGGAATCATTTCCATCTCGGAAATCTCGCACCAATTTTGCCTCTTTAACGTTTTGTTCTTATTTACTGTAGTATTTGTTTCAACGATGTTGCTGTTAGTACTTGATGAAGTCCCAGGTAAATCCATTAACAAGTCCTTTATTGGAGACTTCGTTGAGCCTTTTGTAGATCTTGGAGTTTTCTTCGCAGGAATATCACCTATTCATTCATTTTATTAACTTTATCTTATTTTTTACTTATTTTAATTAAATGTATATCTTTTGATTATATTACTAAAGATGTTATCTCTAACGGATTTTTATAATTATTCCTATTTTATATATATTACAAAACATCCTCTAAATACTTATAATTATACTATTATAGTTATACCATCAGATTAGGAGAAAATTGATTTAAAATAAATGAAAGATGATTCAAAGTGAAATCGAACAAATTTTTTTAAATAATAATGGGTTTTAATATAAAATCTTGTTTTTTTACCTTTAATAATCTTTAAGAGTCCCTCGTTAGATTCAACGGTGTTCTCTTGTGTAATTATTTTGACGAAATCATCCAGCATATTCTGAATACAACCAGCCTCGCTATTTTTAAATTTTTCAACATTTTTCCAAGGTTCGGATTGTAAAATATCGTCAATATCAAGCGAACCATCTCCACCGATGAATGACAATGCAGATCTTCTTCGCACATCTTTATTGTTATGACTTTTCGTATTACGGCTCATATTTGGCGATATTATTCTGTTAAGAAATATTATAAGTGTCAAAATCATATAACTATATTATAATATAATTGAGAAGCAACACGTATTTTGTAACTGTCTTTCTATAATTATAATTCTGATATATTACTATCTTATTGGTAAAGAATTTAAAATATAATCGTATATACTAATTTGTATTTTTATAATATTAATAGAAGTGAAAATCACATATAATATAACTTACGTGAATCACAAAGATTTTCCTTTTGTTTCCGAGATTTATTTTCTTGCAACTTATTTGAACGGTAAACACGCTGCTTCACTGAATATAATTTTAATTAATTTTAATATTTTTATGGAAATTAAAATAACTAAACTATTTCCATTTTCCATTAAAATATTAAGTATAAGTGAAATAAAACATTACATATACATGGTATTTAAATAATAATGTGAAAAGCTATTAACATTTGACAAGAATTATAGAAAGCTTGTAACGTCGAGGAAAGACAGTTCAGAACTATTTGAATTGTGTTTATATAGGTTTTCACCTTCTCAGAAATCCTTGCCGAAGGTTGGCATTCTTCCTTTATATCTATGCTATTATTTATTTTCTGCTTGACATATGAATAATAAAAATAATATTTCTAGAATATATATAAAGAGTATACATAAAAATTATATTTGCTCTCTAAAAAGTTTATATACAATTATGGTAGTTACACAACATATCATTACACTTATTTACTATTTAATATTAATATTTAATAGAGATACAAAATTCATTAAAATAATTTTAATAATCTCATGATAATACAATAATATAATTTTTTACGGGAGAAATTATTCTAATTTTGTTATGAAGGAATCTCTTAACTTCAATGCATTGTCTCATACATGATTATTATAATAGCTGACGAAATTATATAGAACGTAGTATAGTGAATTAAAAGTTCGATATTTATTTGCGTCATGATCCCTGTTTTTACCTCGCAATTTCTTTATAACGTAATTTTCTTATGTTGCTATTACGATATGGCATTGTATAGGCACGCGTAGACTTGGAGAACGTCAGAAAAACCAGATTATCGAGCGAGCTCTCTTGGCGGAGCGGAATAGAATTCAATGACGTCATCGTGCTCGCGCACGGACCTCACACAGCTACTATAGACCCATAGTATGTCGATCGAGTGGAATAGGGCTTCATGACGTTATACGACTCTCGATGAGCTCACTTGGTTGCAAGTGATGTCACAAGGTACTCCCTCGTCACATCGGCCGTAGCGTCATTCACTGCGATGCAGCTTTATCCGTTTTAAGTATCGAGGGAAATGAAGTAGAAAAAGCTGACACCTTTTATGAGGTAGAGATAATTTTCTCAACTATATGGTATAACAGTGTTTATTTAAAAAAAAAACGGATAAGCGCTCGGTCGTTATACTCCAATGGGACACTTCCTTTTTTCTTTTAATTATTAATATCTGTTAGAGAGTAAAGATCTGTAGGATAAAGGCATTGATTAGCTGTAGATATCTTAGTTTTACGAACAATATTCATCTTGTTTTCATAAAATGAAAAAGTAAGTAGACAGTTGAAATTTAGATGACATAAATCATTCCGTTCATATAGTCGAAGATTGAAGCTGTGAATTGTTTCATTATAAAAATAGACTTTATAAAGTAACAAAAGTATTTTTAAAAAAAGATATCGAGCACTCGTTGATCATGTTTTAGGATATCTGATATTGTAAAAAAAACTTTAATGAAAACAACACAGTAGAGGAATAAAACGATGCAGTAATTTCGTGTCACCAAGTAATACTTTTGCGAATCGTGACGTGCATACATTGACTATTGGATAAAATCCCATCGGGCAATTTTCAATAAATAAATGTCGCCTTAGGCCACTACAAAACTCACTCTCATCTTGGAAGATAATATTTATGAACACGGAACTGTCAGCGCGCCAATTGGTACCAAAGTGCGTTTCAACAAAAACGCAATTTTTTGAAATTACTTTTTCATCATGATTTACAAAAGAATGATTTAATAAGTTTAAGAGTGATTATTAATAATAGCAATTAGTAAGTTTTAACTTCAAACAATGTTAACGACGTTGTTTATTTCGCTCCACAAAAAAAAATATTTTTTTAAAAAACAAAAATTAATATTTCCTTTCGTCTTGATTTAATATTTTTTCACAGGATAGTATTTGCAGATACGTCATATGTCAATTTAACGCTATTTGATTATTCCTATTAAGTAATTTCCGGAAATGAAATTTCGATAGAGAGAATAATTTGAAGATATTAGATTTTATATTATATATTTTAGTCCACTAAATAAATAAATTTGTAAAAGAAGAAGGACACTTTATCTAGATCATTTTCATGTGTTTGCATTGATCTAAATTTGTCGAAAGCTTAGGGGAATCAGACTGATTCTTCTATAATAATTATGTTAACCAAGCTGATCCACGTGGATGTTCTGCAATTAAATAGTAATTATTGGATATTGTATGTTCAGAATATTATTGCCTCATTGCTAGTGTTATAATATAATCCATGGATTTGTATTTGTAATCCATGCATATGTTTTATTACAATGTTGGAACAACGAATTTTCCAAGACAGGTGGTATATCGCATTGCTCAGACGTTAACAATGTCCAATCCAAGGAACATCGATTTCTGTCCGAAAATTTAAAGCTTTTCATATCGTTGGCGCTGCGCTTTGGCTTATTTTTGCTCTCTCGAAAACATGGAATTATAGGTAGATTGATTTTACAAACAACTCATGCGAAAGATCATCTACAGCTTTGCAAATAATAATAGCAATCGCAATTGTTTAATCATGATAACGATGAAACCAGTTTTTAAATATTCCATTATGATTATCTATCTATAAGAAATATAAGAAAGATCTTTCAAAACATTAATATATGCAAAAAGATCTGTTATAGCTGATGCTACACTAAAAAATATTAGATATATTTCACCTAACGTGATATAAAACGAAACAAGTTTATTGAATGTTCTATGATTAAAATAACTTGTCAATACATAATTTTTCATAATCATCTTTCTACGTTAATAAAAAAAATTCTGAAAGAACTAGAAACTTACGCCATTGCAAATAGGAGCGGAGGTTAACGGCTGTCAAGAATAACAACTTTAGTAGAAAGAGAAGAAAAAATAATTCAAAAAGAAATTTTGCCTCCAGGGGATCGCCATCGTTTGACTCACGAAAATAAAACGTCGATTCACCGCGGTAAGACCGGTGTCCACACGCATGTACACGTATACTTATATAAAAGTGTCATCGTGGCAGTCTCGCGGATAGTTGGGCGCTGCGCATCGAGCGAACATGATCGAGGTAAGAGGAAATCAGAAATGCTGTGACAAGAAATATTTAAAAAAAACGCGTAACGTGTTTTCCATGCTAGTGACGTATGATTCACATGTCAGCTGGCTAATTGTGTCATTCTTCTCGAGAAAAGTGAAAATTTCCTTGTTAAAATTCCTATTGTCTTAACTTTCCTCGGATCGAATGTGAGATTTGATGAAACCAACGGATTCATGCAATGGGAGTTTTATTTTATGCAAGATTTATAAAAAGTGTCGTGTATAAAAGTTCACCTTGATGATTGATTCAATTAGAATGCTAGAATGCTTGACTAAGTGCTTCAGCATTAAATTGCTTTTGACCTTTGTCGCGATGACGTAACTAATTATGCCATAATGATCCGTTATTGCATTTCGAAGTTATTAATAAGTTTTTATATAGAGATATTACTTATTCTCTTCCTTAACGAAATTTGAAGAATTATGTAAAAAGGCTTCTTCCATATTAAGTCATGAAAAGTCAAAAGTCAATCACAGCTTGAATGTGGATATATATAACCTTTATAACAATTTATACATTTACATCTTTATTTAAATTTTCTTTTTTAAAAACTATTCTCGAGAAGAGAACGTCCAGTAATCCTGGTCCTTACAATTAGTTATTTTTACTTCACTATTAGTAACAAGATTTGTAATTGAATTTCATGGCTAAAATTACGTGAATGATTAACGTGATTGTGTAGGCGAAGATTCTCCGTTTACCTAATTTTAACTATTAAAATTTAATTCTAAATCTGTCGCTGAAGGCAAAGCAGAAGTTAATCATAAATATAATTGACAATGTATGATTAGATTGTTAATAATTAATAATGTTGGAATTTTTTTAAAAAAAATTGTATTACGATATAGATGCTTAGCTGATGATGATTAATTGAGAAAAATTCGGATAAAATTATTTGTAAAATATTAAAATATTCATTTCGGAGAGTTAGATCGTTCTCTATTGTAAATGATTTTATTAACAAAATATAATTATCAATAAAATATAAAAAAAATATTTACGATATATAAATTAATTGAAAATATAAATTAAAAATTTAAAAAAAATCCTCAAATGTATTTTAACTTTTATTTTAGAGTTTAACTTAAAAACAAAATAAGCTAAATGTTATTTACGACTTATTATGTTAAATTATGAATATAAATGCAAATAAAAATGTATTAATATTTTTCATAAAGATTAAGGAAATGTATTAAATTGTAGATATAATTATAGACAGTGAAAAAATTTATGTGCGAAATGATTCCTTAGCCATTAAAATTAGCAATTGATTTTACTGAGATGTGAACACCTTGTTTCAATAATCTGTCCTCGCAATCAGGGAAAATCTTTTTCATCCAATACAAAAATAACTTTGTCTTGTTCGAAGAATTTCTAGTCAATCGCGAGAAAGTGGGTTATCCTTTAACCTGGTCGCGATTTGGGTCAAGTGAAGTGGAGCCCGAGATCGTGTCTATATGAAATAGCAAGGGTGTGGGAGATCTCATACGTATTTCTACCTGCAAATGTCGCATCAAATCGTCGTCCGCTTTAAATTTTCATGGGATTCCCTCACGAATTCACTCTCCAGGTGATTTCCACCACACTGCTAGTGAAATCGCGCAGTTCTATGTATTTCCATGACGCAATAAAAAATAATAAATTAGCAGTTGCGTCGCCAAGCGAGATATTTATCTCCGCGTAGATCCCCCGGTGACTTTTGAATTAATTTTGAAATAATTCCCGTGTATACGCTACGTTAAAAAAATAAATTTCATATGCGTGACTTTTTGCAGTAGCACTTCCTGCTTTTTTTTGCGCACCATTGACTGAGCGAGGGCAGTCTAAACAATTTTGAAATTTAAATATTTTGCGTTTATTTAATACCTTATTATAAAATAAGATTTTTTAAACTGAAATTTATGTTAGTTTAAATGAACAATATCATTTTGTTAATTAATTCCATTATAGACAATAAAATTGCTAAAATCATTTTATTTTTTATCAATTAGGTACAATTTAAAAATTATTGGAACTTTAAAATTCATATAAAGAATTGGTTTCTGTGTTCAACAAACTTGCAATTAAAATTAATTCTCAACTACAGCAATGGGTCATTTGGACCCGAAGCAAAAATTTTGGATGGTTCAATCTGTACGATTAATATTACAAGGTCCTAAATTGTAGGTAAAAAATTTTGAATCTTCCTCTATCAATCCGTAAAACGGAAGTTACTTATTGCTTTATGTATATACTTCGATGTTTGATATACATGACGCTTTAAAATTTAGGGATAGTTTTTATAGTTGTTGTTAAGCATTAAGAGTGACTTTTGGAATATTTATTTATTTTAATTAATAACACAAGAAGGCTTATTTATGTAATTATTTTCTACGCGTAAATGAAAATCTCGCATAACATACACGCATCAATGCAATTGCGTTGCATTCAAATGCTTTTGATGCAGTTTCTGGTACTATTCCTTGGTGTTTACGGAGCACTGGCGGCTCCTCATGCGCCCCACGTGAGTCATGATCCTCATCTGGACAATAACGCGGAAGTGGTCTACGGGCAGCTTCCCGGTACCGAGAATCTAAACGAAAAGGCACTTCCATTATCTCGCTTATTCGCCACAGAGACGAATAATCTGCCAGCCACAGAGAGGAATAATCTAGCAGAGAGAGCTCAAGTCCATCAACGACTTCCCGGGACGGCAAACCTGACAGAAAAGCGAATCCCTGATATCATCTTGAAGAGATTGTCACAAGTGCTTGATATAAAATAAAAAGAAGAAAATCTAAGAAGGGTTTAAGATGCAATACTTTGTTCGCGATAACATTAAAAATATAGTTGACTATCATCACCATTAATATTTGAATAATACATATAAATTGCATGAATTTTTTTTATTAAATGTGATTAAAGAAGTATAAAGCACATCACTAATATTGAAAATTTTATTGGAAAAAGAAAGTAAGATATTTAACCTGGTAACTACGTTATGGTTTTATAACGATTATTATTATACATATCATTGTGCATATGCATCACATTAATAATGAAGAAAGTTTAAATGTTTCGAGAGAGAATACAAAATTATCAAAATGAAGATTTAATACATTCTACTGATCGTATGATTTTTAGCATCGTACTGAAATTAATAGGATGATCAATCATTTTGGGAGGTTTATTAATAAATGAATAAATAATTCAAAACAATTTTGTTGAAATAACACTTCGTATTACAGATTGCTTTGTCGAAGATGTACTTACATGCATAATCATCAATAAATTATTATATCATGTGTTTACTACAAAGTAAATAATTCTTACTATGTCGTAATAATGTATTTATAGAAGTGATAAAACAATTCGCGGATAAAACCGCAGAAGAAAACAATGCAATTCATATTTTTCTCTTTCCTCTTCTCTCCTCTCTTATTATCTCGCATAGAATTATTATTATGCATTTGCATATAACAATTTTATAGACAGATAGAAAAATATCTAGCATAATTTAAAGCGAGAAATTAAAAAATGAATTTCTTCGACAATATACACACAATTTATTTTTGCATCTTTTATGCACAGTATTATTTTGTTGATAGCAATATTGTCAATTTGTAAAATAGATTTTACAATATATTTCAATGCTAGCAAAAACATAACGCAATTATCTTTAGAATATTACGATAATGAAACACGGTAAATTGTTTTATAATTGGAAAAACAATAAGGAACAAATTAAATATTGATTATGTCAACAAATAATTTATTCTATTATCCTTTCGTTATTTTATGGAATAAATCTCTATTCTCTAGTTCTAATTTGCTAAGCAAAAATCAAATAGAAGTAAAATTAATTAAGAGCAAATAAATGAATCTCAAATTGATACTACACGGAGAGAATTTTATTTTAAAATTTACCCCGAAAATATGATAATTATGGTACAATACAATATTTTAAAGATTTTGACCATGCACTTCAGTAAAATTAATCAAATTTGTTTTATACTTTATTGTAGTTTTATTAATGAATGAGAGAAATTTACATTAAAATTTTTGGAAATACAATGTCCCATGACTATCATATTTTCAGGGTAAACTCTAAGAAAAAACTCTTTCCATATAGTTTATTATAAATTCAGATTCATGACGAATAGTAACTAGTTTTTCAATTATATATAATGTGGAACGTTTCGACTTAATTTATATAGTCTTCCTCAGCCTGCAATTAAATCCGTTATAATAATAAAAAAGATAATTAAAATCCGCATCAAACTGCATTAGTAAAACGATGTAGAAAATCAATACAATATTTTATAAAAATTAATCGTAAAGTTCTTGTTTTGCGAACATAGCATTCGTCGGTAAAGATGAAAATACTATTTTAAACGTTAATTTATATTATAACTAAATTGAAATTGAGATTTATGTAATATCATATATCGTGACTGTATATTATATTTATAATTTTATTTATATTATATATTAAATTACGAATCCAAGATATATCAACAGTCAATAGTAATATCGACAGTCAATATACAATTCTCCTCGGATTCTCGGTAAAAAGGAGATGCCGGCAGTGTTTGTATATCGATTTTAGAATTTATTGTTCACGTTATTCGAAAGATAACGCCACAAACAAAATTTAGTGGAGCAATCTAAAATAAAAATTGAAAAGATAAAAGCATATTTTATGTTTAAACAAAAGATTTCTATTTAACTTAAATTTGTGTATTATATTCGATGAATATAGGAGTGTTTATTAGATCTTTATGTTTATGATTGTGTAGATTTCAAATCCGTACTGCAATGAAGGACGGAAACGTGAAACGTCTTTTGTAGGAAATATATTATTTAATTTATTTCTTGTCTAAATAATTTGTACATTGAAAAAAAAATTGCAGATTTTAAATAAATATTTACTCCAATATAGAGTACTAACGAAATTTATTTATAGTAAATAAATATTCAAAATAAAACAGTTATGTTTAAATTGAATAAATATATGTTTACATTTAGTAAATATTTTGTTAGTATTATTGGAGTAAATATTTATTTAAAATCTGTAAATTTTTTTCCTGTGTATTGATTTAGAGATATCTGATTATTTAAATAGAATCATTATTTTTAATTGTGCCGTTTATCTCTTTTACTTTTCTCTTTAAAAAAGTGAGCATATTTTATATTTATACAAGTCAATATGTTACGCTCTTTTAAGATTGACGTGCCACCCTTCGGCTTTTGCTATTTCGTACTTGCTGGACATTATTTTGTCGGTGAATTGCACCAAGTCATGGCAGTCCTTCGTACGTGTTAGAACTTTAATCCAGTCGGCGTTTGGATTTAATACACGCAACCGATTAACAGCGAGATTACATAGGGCTCTACGTGCAGTCGTCGAGCTTATGGTAGCTTTAAACTAAAATTAGCTGAACTTCGCGTATCTTCGATACCGCGCCTTATTCCAGCAGCGCCTCATGTTGATCGTCGAGCGCTAGGATAATAGGATTTCAGCTCACTCGAAAAACTTGACTTAACCGCGCCTATCTATAAAATCTGCAACCTAGTAATACATATTAAAGTGAATCTCTGATATTCCTTGAAAATGGATTAAAAACTAAACTGTTGAGAAAATAATCCGTTAAACTACTTTAAGCTTAACATTAATCTATAAGAATTATGTATCGATAAAGAAATTTTTTCGATTAAGTCTTTTTATCAGGCATTCTGAATCTGATGTCAAATTATAATTTCTGAATTAATCACACAAAAGTACTTTTTTTTTATCCGAAGTACGATAGTACATTTCCCGAATTTTTTTCGTGCTGAACATGATGCTGTTGTCAGAATTTGCGTAGCACATGAGAATTTTTAGTAAATGAGGATGGTTTTTGGTCTGTTTCATCCTCAAAATTTACTAAAAATTCTGATGTACTACACAAATTCTGACGATAGCATCCTGTTCAACGCAAACAAATTTTCAGAGTATGTATTATAATACTTCGAAGAGAAAAAAGTAATTTTTATTGAACTGTATAATTATACACAGTATAGAAATAAGTCTAATATTCAAACAGCCATAACTTGATAAAAATAAATCGTATGGTCATAAACCAAAATTTATTTGAAAGCTCTGAAATTGTACTTTGAGATATATTACAAGATTTTAATTAGAAACAAGTTTTTGTTTTGTTGTAAAAAAAATGTTTAAAATGTAAAAAACGCTATTTTTTAATCCTTTCGCCTAAATTTACTTAAAATGACATGCTATACTAATTTTATCAACGGCATCGCGAAAAAATCTTCAGAAAATGTACTCCGGAGAGAATTTGACTATTGAATAGTTATGATATCCACTTAAAAATAGTCAATACCATCAATTATAAAGATTTTATCTAGAATAGCTTTTTTTTTTAAATAGCACATCCCTCTTAAGAAAAATATATACAATAATATAGATTGGATTTATTTCCAAATTACTTAAAATAACTACATCCAACATACTCTATCTTGTTTACAAAGCTCTTCTATCGCAATTACGTATTTCGATCGAGTATGTGTTGTATCTCGAAACAACGCAGTGAAGATTGGCGAACCATTTCCGTGAGGCTTTATCTCCTCTTCGTGCACGCGCTATTACGTGCTATTATAGCGCGACATCTTCACGAAGTGTGAAATCTAATATTCACGCCACACACAGGTTGTTGCTTCGAGCGCGTGCTCCTGTCCTCTCGCGTTCATATCCGTGTGTGCACACCGACACGCGCTGTTCTGGTCGAGACACACGCGATACGTGAGTCAGAAAGAGAGAGAAGGAGAGCGAGAGAGAGAGAGAGGGGGGGAGGGGAGAAGAGGGAGAGACGAGAAAGAGAGAAAGCGTATGCATTCACTCCTACGATCGCTAATCTTAACGGAAGGGGATGATGTTTGCACGGTTTAGGGATTGCGCCGACGGGTTACGGTTTCGGGGGCGAGTCAAAGACACCAACCACACCAGTGCAACGGTAATGCCCCCCGGTCAGGTGGGTTAACCGGCTCCTAACTTTGACCGACGCTGCCTGTACTCGCAAAATCGGTCGATTAAAGCCGCCCACACACGTACGCACGCAAAATCCACACAGTGCACTGTGCATTCAAACACGGTAATTGTACCGTTAAGCAGATAGAGATCTAAAGATTACAGATCAACATTGTAATGCCCTTGAGAAATCTTACTTCAATCTAACATTAATGTATCTAACATTAATAATAACAATTTCGAATTGTTAATGGAGTAACATGAAACGGAATAAGTAAGACGCACAAAAAGAGAGAAAATAGGGATAGATTATATATTTAAATAATTATTTTATAATCAAATGGATTTTATAATGGACATAAATTATTTTTACTTCCATACGAATAAAAAAGTTTAAGTAATTTAATCGTCTTTTGAAAAGACTGATGACAAGTCTATGTATTTGTCGAAGAAATTGTGATAGCACTAAAGGACACTATGGTAGCAAAAGGGCACTACTCGCTTTCAGAGTATCGGTTTGCGATTCGGCATGTAGTGCTATAGTTTCGATGGACAGAGGCACTATCGCTGATATCATTGCTTGGAAACAAAGCTAACTGCTCTACATTTCTCATTGAATAACAATACGACATAGAATGTTGTTTAATATATCTTTCTCTTTTATTTTAATACCCTTATCGAAATCCAATTTACTAGTTTGAATTGAAAGTTATTTATTTTGAATATTAAAAGCACTGTTATAGTTAGTGCTTTTAACACTTAAAATATTAATTAATCGCTACATTAATATTAAATTTTTTATGACAATTGCTATCTGATCACGGCAAGAAATTACGCAAAGAAATCTTTACATTTAGAAGCAGTAAATTAAAGTTTTTGAGAAATTTCAAATAATACATTGAA